GGAAAGCCTTTTGCTTACATAATGACTGCCATTTCAATTAATTGTAAAACATATTTCATGCTTTTATCTTGGTCAACCGGAAGTCAGCATTGCAAAAGATTTCAATTGAAATTAATTGAATTAAAGCGGAATTCTTGAGCTACGTACAAATAATATTTAATATATATATTTTTAATGGAATTAGTTTTTACAAAAAATAGGAATGGTTTCCTTAAAATTATTCACAGATTTAAAATCACATATGAAGACACCCAAAAGTATGCTATGATTTAAAAAATAGAATTTAAATCTTTGTTCAAGAAATTTAAATAAAAAAATAAATATGTTTTATATTTAAACTAAGATATCCCACAAAAAGTAGAATAACTTCCACAAAAATGGTTCCAGAGAATTTAAATCTCTTTTCGAGACATCAAAAAAAAATAAAACCTTAGCTTTGTGATTTCTTATAATTGAGTCTGTCTATACATATTAATAACCTTACACAAATAACAATTAGGTTCTTGGCAAAGGGTATATATGTTTTTAAAGATTTAAAATCACTTTTGAAGACACCCAAAAGTATGCAAAGAATTTAAATAACATAAGCTATAAGTCACAACTTTAAGTGATTTTAAATAAACTCTAATATGTTACAAATAATTCTCAAAAATATATATTTATTTAAATATTCAAGTAACTTCTAGAAAAGGGTATCCTCTATTCGATCCAACAAATTCTCACCAAGAACATTAATTTTTATATGTATGCTCCTTCGTTTTTTATTCCTGACCCAGGTAAATTGGCTGGCCAACAATGCCAAATCTTTCGGCATGTCCATAAATTCACATTCAACCTTAAAGCATTTACAAAAGAAGCCTCGAAATTTGGCAGAAAGCGTACAAGTTTCAGCATAAAAAGAGAGGCACGCGTTTTGGGGGGAGAATCTAAGAAGCCGAAAGCCGAGAGCCGACAGCCGGGCGACATGTACACGCTCTACCTCAGTGTTGGCATTATTTTGGGTCTCTGGAGGGGTCAACGTGTGGGTGTTCCGGCTGGGTGGTGGGTGGTTGTGTGTATTCGTGTCTACACAGACATCTGCCAAGAACCTCGAGGAATTGTTTATTGTTTACTCTTTGCATTTAACGGCTTGTTGAAAGGCATCGCTCCGTATCAAAGATGAGAGACCAAGTGGAAGATGCTGCTTGCTGATGGTGAGTCTCTTCCACAGAAGCGGAAACAAGTTATTTATTTAACTGTCATAACCTGGCAATCACAAAAAAAAAAACAGTCGTTTTCCCCTTTCAACTGAATTTTACTCTGGCTAAAATTAACCCTCAGTGCAACTATATCATAAAATTCAATGAACTAATCAGTTTTGCAGGTTTATATGGCAACGACAACCCTTGTTCCAGGAAGAGACTGCTGTCTATCAGCAACAAGGGAATTGATTACACTTTAAAACTAACTAGGACGAATTATGTGGGATGTTTACCAGCTAACAAGTTTGCAGAAGAAGGATGCACATCCTTTTATTTTAATCCGATTAAAAGGGAGGGTTTTTACTAATATTTCTTTAAAATTCCTTGATATTTTAGCATTACGTTTCGAAGTTGGTGTTGAAGGTCTTATCACCTTGGTAAATTGTTATAAATTGATAAAATATAAATCATTTTGTTTGGCACTTTCTTAGTCCTAGAATTTTCATAGAGATTTCCTTGTTAAATTTCAGAATTTTCAAGCAATAAATTCATAGAAATATAAACCAATTAAAACAAGTGTTTCCCCGAAATCCTCACTATCTATGAGATACATTCATTCCACTCAAATTTTATAAAGACTGAAATAAATCAAACTAAAACTTGCACAATCTGAAAGACAAATCGTTACATTTATTCAGTTAGAAAAACAAAAATCCCTGAAATTTATTCTTTGCATTTATCTAGACCATAAAAACCGATTACTCACAGCTGTCACATCTGTAGTTTTCCGAAATGACACAGCAGGAAGTCGCCTAATGAGACAAATCCTTTTTTTTTTTGTCCTTGCCCTACTCAGAAAGTTGCCGATGACGGAAACCAATCAATGGAGTTGACAGCAGCTTCAGGTCCCCCAGGGGAAAACTGGCTAATTAACTTGGCCTGATGTTTAAGGCCAAAGTTTAAGGCACATAAATAAGGATTTATTTTCGAAATGGAAGGAGGAGGTGTCTGTTCATGCCTCATTTGGCTGGACTTTAGCCATAAGTACCGGCGGCATGCAAGCATTATTTATTTAATTTAGACATTGCCTTGGTAATTTGGGATAATGAACTGAGGGTCCAGTGCAACTCCTGGCTGGTACTTAATGTATTATTATTAAAATGCCTCATGCCGTGCCATAAGTCTTGGCATATTAAAAAACACCCAGCGGAGATGTCACCTCATGCTGTCTACGATATGAGAGGAGCCCCCACGCTGAAGCTGCTTCGTGGCGCCATTGTAAGGCCAAAAAAAAAAAAAAAAGATGCCCATTTTCTATTTCCGAATTACTTTCGGTTTTTGGTGGCTCTCTTTTCGTTGGCTGGCTGGAATTTTTCATCCACATTTAATTTATTCTTTTATGTCCGGAGCGTGTTGCTTTGATGTGGCCACAATGGAACATCCGCCACTCGCCCCACTCCATTAATACAACTTGGGCTCACACGTCTTGTACAAGGAGCCAGCCACATGAATTGTAATCCGTGTAGCATGGGTTTAGGTTTAGGTCCTGCAAGCTGGTTTCAGCTCCTTGGCTGGCTGGATAATAATGCCAGCCTGTGGTCGGGACATCAATTTCCTATTGTGGCCAGATTTCCGCCTGCAGATTGATATGGTGTGTTCGCATGACTTGCTTTTAGGTCCAACTCGTGGTCAAATATACATGAGTTAAAGGGGGCAGCGCAGTTTCAAGACTCCATAAATTATGCATATGATCAATTAAATACAGAACATTGAGCAAAAACGGGTGAGGATGTGTGGCATCGGATGTCTCTTAAGAAATAGTTTTCCTTCATTTATATTTAGCTTATCGGGCATATAGAAAAACGAACTTTGCTGTTTTATACACTGTACTGATAGGTTGGGTAAGAAACTATAAATTAATGGCAATTTTAGTAAAAGGTAGAAGAAAGAAATCAGATTCTAGTAGGTATAGATACTACTTAGGGTTGTCCAGAAATTCATACGCATTTAAACCCTTTTTAAATGGGTCTAAAAGTATGCAATATAATTTTTTAGGCACCAAATTCAGTGCAATTTTTATTATTTTGTTATTATCTATACAAAAAACTGTTTAGCAAAATTTTAAAAACCTAAATTTTTAATTAAAATATGTATCTGTAGGTTTATTTCTTTATTTTATTAAAAATTTCCTTAAATTAATAATAAAATATATATATTAAAGTTGGAAATGTTTATTTAAGTCAAGATTTTGTTTTAATTTATTGATAAATAACATAATTAATATTAAAAATACATAAATAAACAAAAATAAAAAACTTTCTTTAAACAATAAAATAAATACAAATTTATACATTTATTATATTTGCTTAAAAATTTTTATACAAATATTTTCAAACATAAATAGCTGAAGATAACCATTTTTAATAATGTTTTTAACAGTTTTCTTCAAAATTTTCTTAAATACTTTATTATATTCCTCGAATTTTCCCAATTTTTCAGCTTTTTTAAGTCAAAGACACTTAAAAAAATCCATTTGAAATGCCGCAGAAGTTTATTTTTGTAACATTTTACATGTCAAGATAAAACTTTGTCATTTTATGGCAGGATTTGCACTCGTTTTGCTTACATTTTTGATGATCCAAATGGATTCCGTAATCATATTTTAATTCCTCAAACCATAATCTTATGGAAACCTTTATTGTGCTTGTTTACTCGCCTCGTTTGTTTTATTTATCAATACTTGTTTACCTCCCAAGTACTCTCACATTTTCTTAACATTTTTATTAAAATAAGAAAATAAAAGAAATTTCGCATAAAGCATAAAGAAATTCAACGGAAATAAAGCAAAAGGGGAATGGAATCGTATTTAAACTGCAAACCGTAGGGACTTTTATCCTGAAACTTTCTTTCCCTTATTTTAATTTATGGGTCATTAAATTTGTATTGGCGAGATGCGACCAAGGCAATTTGTCCTTGAACGAAACCCTTTTTTATTGCAGCGACCCAAAAGCAAAGAAAAAAAATTATAAGAAGCCAATTAAGGTCAGGTTTGACATAATTAGTTATGGCCACAAAGAGGAAATTTTTCTATTTGCTAACGTGGAAAAAAATGTCATACAAATAACTGAAGAATTTCTGGAAATTTATTTTTATTGGTAATTTTATTTGTTGAACAAAAATATGCGTTCTTCATATATTTTGAACCTTTTTGTATATTTATTTACAAGGGCAAAAATCTAAATAAAAAGCTGAATGATTTGTGGGAAAAATGCTTTTTTGCTGGCATTTATTTTCCTTTTTTTTAATTCACCAGAAAACCACAAAAATAACAATACCAAGAAGCCAATTAAGGCCTGTTTAAATATAATTTGTTGGGCATAACAAATAGCATTTAATGATAATTACTTAGGCCATTAAATTAAGTAAATAACTTCTGGTAAAAATGGTGTTTGCTTTGACTAAAAAAATATTTCATTTTCCATGAAACAGTGTTTATAGCTTTAAAAAACTTTATAACTATTTAGATAATTTATGAAAGCAATTATCGCTTTTCCAGAGTAAAATCAGTTATTTTTCATATCATAAGTTAATATTATTAATATAAATATGTTTAATTTCAGTTACATTTATATTTCATTTTGCTTTTAGTGGCCTTAATTATTAAACTATAAATCGTCACATGCCATTGAAATATCTTTGAGTTTCCTTTATTCTGAGCATTTTTTTGTATTTGAATTTCTCTGTTTATTGTTTTGTGTCAATTAAAATTAATGACTTTTAAATTTGCTGATAATTGAACATATAATTTGTTGCACTCACATTTGCCGTTTATTTTCGTTGCTATTTTTGTTTTTGTCTGTTTACATTTTACAACACACAAGTGGGATATTTTCCAAGTAAGAAAATCTGACGTAACCAAAATCTGATATATTGTTTTTTTTTTTGCTTTATCAATTTTATTTTAGTTTATATATTTAGGGAATATTTTTTTTATACTTTTAATATTTTTATTTCAATTTGAAAACACTTTTATTCAGGCGCACATTATTCGATCCGAGGTGTGATCCTTACGCGAGCTCGGTAAACGACGGACTGCACATTGAAATTCCGGCAGGCGATAATGATTTGGCGCCAAACTGTTTCGGCTTTTCGAATTTCCCCTCTTTTCCAGCCTTCCAGTGCGAATTACTGTTCGAAACTGGAACTGGAAGGCGGCCTTTTAGCCGGCAAACGACGCCTGCGCTTTAAGTACACAAAAAAATTGTAAACAAAAATCAGCTGACTAGAGAAGCTTCATTGATGACGGGATAAATATAGTATATATATTACTATATATATATATATTTATATATATGTATATAAAAATGGGTGTGTGGATCTGAAGCCAAGGATGAGTGATGTGATTAGGGTGAGCTCATGTGCGGCGCTAATAAATATCAATGATTTGTGAAAATTCTTCTTGTTGAGGCGAAACAAAAATAAGAAAAAAAAGAACACCACAATTTTATTGAAAGTCGTTGAAGCAGACAGTACGTACATCTTCTCATATGGAATTAAATTGAAGGGGGGGCTAGAGTAGGGGAATTGGGGTGGGGAAAACGAGGCTCAAGGCCACGCCTTTTACTTGTCACGCCAACTGAGAATCCTCACAGCTGTCAGGTCAAAGTCTCACCCACTTGACATCTACTCCAATGTTCTGGCATTCTCCCAGCTTCCCACTTTTACCCAGTTTTCCCCAAAGAAAACCCACATTTCCCCCACATTTAATTTCCTTTTACGCCGCATTATTTCAGCCTTCTTCGACACAATTTACACAGAATTTGAACAGCCTTTGACTGGGATCGATGTCTGTATCAAATGATTCGGAGACAATAATGGCTCTGGCTCATTGTCTTTCGATTTATCGAGCCAAGGTTAATCACCTCCCGGTTATTCTCAGTGCGTCTGCAAATAGAAAGCATGAAAATTGATTAATCAAATGATTAAATTTATACAAAAACTGAACAAAAATTGTGACAAATTTATTCAAGAGTTTTTTCACGCTTCAGTAAGCCAATTATTTATTAGAAACATTTTCAAATATATTTTTTATACATTTAAATACTTGGGGTAAGTTTATAATAATTTTAGTTAGATATTATAGTTAATTTAGTTTTAGATAAGAAAATACTTGAAAATTTATTGTGTTAAATTAAAGAAATTATAAGTATAAAACAAATAAATATGCAAAGTTGTTTGATGTTTAAGCTCTTTACTTTCTTTACTTTATAAATAAATAAATTTAAGGGCATTTAAACACACATAACCGCAAAAAAAAAAAATATATATATATATAAAAATTACAATTTATATTAAAAAAAAAATAATAATAAAATAAAATTAATTGTTAACTTTACATTTCTATAGTTATAATAATAATAAACCCATAATTTTTTAGAACATGTAAAATTATTAATAAAATAATATTTTTAACTTTATTAAATAATCATAAATAAATGTATATATTTTATACATTAAAAAAATAATATTTTGATTACATTTTCTTTAATTAAAACTCAAATAATAACTTAGAAAACCACATAATTAAGTAAATATAACTAAAATTTATCTGTACACCAACTCAATATTTTATCTACATAACAAATATACATTTTACCCTATATTCATCACCATTTACTGCTGCCTACTTCCAGGCTCTCCGCCTAATTGCGCTCATGTTATCAACTGGGATAATGAATAAATACCTGATTGCACAAATTAAATGACAAAAAATCAGATAAAAGAGCTTGGGTTTTAATGAAGACAAAAGTAAGCAGAAGGCTTAAAGCCGCTATCATTAAGTACTACAGGTATAAGCTCCTGGCCACACACACAAGTGACATATATATGTTTACTGATAAGCCAAATCACTCTCTTTTAAAAGAGAGTCCCGCAATCTCTTTTAGGTTGAGCAAATCAACAAAAAAAAGGTAAACACACAAAAGTTGAATGCAAAGCGTACAAATTGAAATTGAAAGCTGAGCTGATTGAAAGCCCTCAATGTTGCGTCAAAAGAGAATTCTTTTTAAGGGAATCTCCTGGGGGCTTAACAGATTGTTGCTCTTTTAGATTTTCTCTCTTAGAATGTAAGTGACTTTTAAAGGCTTTTATATTAATGGGAAATCCTTAATTAAGGCTTTTGGGCCAAGGATCACCGCTTGATTGACGGTTACAATTTTGCAAGGAATGGTACGCTAATAAAAAATAAATTTAAATAATAAAATGTATAAATATTATTTCTGCAATAATACACACAACTACTTCTACTTCAACTTTAATATTTTATTTATTTAAGCAATAAGAAAAGATCAGTGACTGTTCTTAACCCAAAGACTTTTTATATTGGGAATCCCGCTTAACATAACAGCAGGGGAATTCCAATTGGCAGTTCTATTAGTAAGAGTACCTCAACAAATATTTCTGTTAGTCCGAGAGCAAAGCTCTCTTTGGCCCCACCAGGCTAGAGAGCAAAAGCTCCCATGTACTATGGGGCTTTTCAAAATGTTCAGGCCAGAATAACACTTATTTGTATAATTGCAAATACCAAATTTCATTAAAATATAATTAATATTAATAATTATTATTAATTAATATATGTTCATGTATAGGTTTTCTATATATTTTTCATATATTTTTTATAGGTCGAACAATTTCCTATTAAATGCTACTTAAAATATTTGATTATCTTACTTATTTCATATCTGATTTTAAAAGAAAAAATATCAAACGACCCCACTGTAGCACCGTATACAAGACATGAATAGCTGAGAAACAAGTTTCAGCACGACGACGAAGCGCCAAGGCGGGAAATTCGTACCACGAACGAGATTCTCTTGCCAGTGATTGGGTGTTTCGGTTTCTGTTTCTGTTTGCCCGTGGACGTCGACGCACGCTCGTTTTCGCGCGCTTCTCGCACTCTTCGGTAAATGCGCAAAAAAACACACAGCAACGCAAGAAAAAAAAAGAAAAACACAAGAAATCAAATCGCAGCGCAAAGGCAACGTAAGGCAAACGTAACGCAAACGACTGTCTTCTGTGTATTCATTCCGACTTATTAATAGATTTTCGCACACGGCCCATATTCAGAGCATATTCGAACCTAGAAAAAATGGGAAAATAATGATGCTGGCACATAATTGATAAGGAATATTCAATAGCACGTTGAACTGCTCGTTTTGTTGATTTGAAAGAATTTTTGCGGTCGCGCGCGCGAATTAGTTTCAATATTGCGTATACGCATATGCTTCGATATTGCGTATACGCACGGTTAACGGTGGAAAATATAAATAAATTACAAAAATAAAACAAAATCAAAGTGAAGAAAACAAAAGTTAAACGGCATATCAAAACGCAAACATAAAACCAATAAACATTTCCTAGTTTATTTACAATATATTTATATAAAAACGAGAAAACCCAGAGGATTATATGGATTTACACCACAACGACACTAGCACTATTTACAAGGAAACAAGGGAACAGGAACAGAAAGCACACTAAAAGGATAACTGACTCAGTATCGCCTAAAATCGGACATTAAACGGCAATATATAGAGTTAGAGAGAGAGAGAGAGAGACAGCAGCGATGCCAGCAAGCGGGCTGCAATCTCCACCAGGTCCCAGGGCTAGCGGCATATCAGGATAATATCAGCAGGACCCCAGGACTTGGACATGGCTCTGCTATTTGTCTAGTGGGAACCAGGCCAAACTCTCTCACACACACACACACACACGCGCGAGCCAAGCGAGAGACAGCAGCACCAGCAAGGACATTCGTCATTGTGTGCGTCAAGGACGTTTACGACAACGTTGTGCCATACTCACACACACACACACACGCTTAGTGACGAAAGTGGGCGGCCCAGCTCTGGGCGACACTTATTAAATATACATCAGTCAAGCGCAAGGAACCTAATTTCCACCAGTTGTCCTTCCATGTAAAAGAAAATAAGACAAGACAAGGAAAAGCGCAACAAGGGACAGCCGGACACACGCAGGAAAATGGCGCGTCGCAAGGGCAGCGGTCGAGGCAGTGAGTAGAATTATTCCTTTTTATACAAAATCAATTTTTTGGCATTTGAAAAGCCAAACAAGTTCTAGGAATTTGTAGCTTTAGTTGAGGGAATCTCAGCTTTTCCTAGAAATATGCCAGACAAAGCCAGGTTTCCCTTCATTGCCAGGAGCAGCCACATTCACTGGAATTACTCTATATTCTGCAATTTCCTTTAATTGAAATAATATTCTGTAGAATTCTCCCAGCTTTTTCACCTAAAAATATTCTTTTTTTACTAGAAATAATATTCTGTAGAATTCAAAAAAGCAAAGTTTAAAAATGTAAACATTAAATTAATTTATGGAATTTTGTTCCCCTGATAAAGGATACTCAGCTTTTCAATGTTTTGTTCCAGTTATTCCCAGAATCTACATACTTTGGCTCAACTAGAACCAAGAAAATATTAACTTTTCCGAAAGATTTTCTCTGCAAACTTTAAAAGAACATAAAATGCACATTTCGACCTTCCCAGAATTGCCTGTACTTCAGCTCAAGGACGTAGGCAAACTTTTCGATTACAACAGCCTTGCCTTCCATATGGCAGGACACACATAAAACCCCAACTACTTACTATCAATTTGTGACAAAAGAAGCCCGTCAAGTGCCGGGATAGAGACTTTTCTGTGACTCACAGAGAGCTGGAGAGCCGAACCCTTTCTTCGACTGTATCTATAAGATACATTTTCTGCATTATTATTATTTGCGAGAAAGAATGCATTAAACATGAGACAAGCACAGCGTCAGTAGTCACTTTTCGTTGCAATGCGCATCGCCCACGCCTCCCCCCCCATCAACATTTCCCCCTTTCTTTTTTTTATTTTGTACTGCTTGGGGCCTACCTACCCCTCCCCCCTCCACCTTTTATCATTTCATTTCATTTCTCAGCTGCGTTGCGTTGGCGCGCGCGCTGCAAAATGTTGGGGATTCCCTTACGTAATCCCCCAGCGCACACAAAAGGCAAACAAACAAACTGACACACACACACGCATGCTTTGAGACCGAGGCAAACAAAACAAAAACGAAATGGGTAAAAAAAAAGAAATAACAGAGGCAAAGAGGCACAGAGAAACGGAAAACAGAAAACACAGAAAACAGGGAAAACAGACACAAACAAGGCAGCTTGTTTGCCCGCCAGTCGGAGTCGCCCCCTTGTAATGGCCTGAAAATCAAGCTCAGCCAGCGTCATGAACTTTTGCCGAGCGCTCTCAGTGCTGCTGCTCACCCACTCACAGGCACACAGACACAGATACTCGCAACAGGCAGCTCACACAGATACAGATACTGGGGGTCCACAGTCAAAGATACTTTGCGTCACACGCGGCCTGTTAGACAAGTTGCCTGCACGGCAAGTAAATGAGGGCTTAATAAGGCAAAATTTGGTATTAATTAAAAGAGGATGAATAGGGGAAGAACATTAATCAATAATAATGAATATTTTCTTGCAGTTTTATGTACTTTTAGGGTATAAGAAATCTGTGTTTTAATTATGGTTATTTTGCAAAGTTTTTAAAGTCCAAAACTGAATATGCATATAATATTTTGGATTCAAATGAAATGTTTTACTTTATCCCCCATTTCTCTGTGTGCACCTGCTGTTACTCATGCTACAGTTTGAACCTATTAAAAAGGCAGAGATACTTTGTTGCATGGGGCGTTCTCATGCCTTAATGCCCACACGATGTCATTCCCTTTTAGCCTCCGTCACCGCCTCAGTTCAGATACTTTGGCCAAATGAGATACAAGTGTGCTGCCTGGGCTTTTGATATATGCCAAGTATTTTGCTGTCAGAAGAGATACAGTAAATACTAATAGGATTACATTTTTTAAATTTTTAAACCTATACCTTAAGGGGTTACTTCTACTTTGTTAGCACTTCCTAAATTTCTAGATACATCTCCCCCATGAGTAAGGTAAAAATAATCACCACCGTTTCTTAATTATTAATAAAACTTATAGAGCTTCCACTGTATCTCAGGCGCAACATGTTCAAAGAGCTAGCGTCTCACTTGGCTACGCCTTAACTCCAAGTTGCCGATGGGTTTTTGCTTTGGGGGTTTGAGGATCCGAAGGCTTTTCGAGGGAGTTGGAAGTTGCCAGAGACACTTAAGCTGGCTTTGGCTTTGTCTTTTGGCTTTGAGTTGGTCTTTGTCTTTGCGTTGCCAGTGACTTGGCTGTAATCTCTTTTTGCCTTCGTCACTAACAACGTCAAAATTAAAATAGACTTCGTTCTCCGGTGGGGTTCTCGGGGCGACTCTCTGTTTTCGCTTTGACTTTGCCTTGGCTCTGGGCCATTGTGCGGCGGATAATTTATGGAAAGTGGTGAGGGGGGGAGTTTCAAGTAGAGGAAATCCCACCCATGGCCACCCCTTTTACCCCTGCAGCTCCCTTTCTCTCTCTGTGGCATTTTCCCGCACTTTTATTTCTGTGTACGAGTATTTTCATTCCATCGTTACCTTTGTTTCGGTTTCCCTTTGGCAACTTTTGCCTTTGCGCTGGCATTCCATTTCCATTTCGGATGAGAGAAAAAAATAAAAGCCAGCCTTTTAGTTTGCGTAGTTTTTGCCCTTCCGATGGGGTCGTTCTTCATTCCGGCCTGGTAAGGGGGGGGGAGGCTCTTTGGAGTTGGATGGATGATGGTGTCCTTAAGTGCTAGGTAGCTGCTTATGTAGGTCTACGTGTGGCCATAATGGAGCCCGATTCCATTTGTTGATTGCTCTGATTCGGTTTCCTACTCGGCATTTGCTTAAAATCGAGTTAGATTTTATGTACAGATTAAGAAGGTTATATTTTGGGTTTAAAGAATGGGTTAATAAAAGGATATATTTGTATTTTTGAGGTCATCTTTGTGTGTAGTAAAGTTAATAAACTTTTAAGGAAAATTATCTTAAATAGGGCTTAAGAGATCTCTTTACATCTTGGCTTTTAAAATATATAAAAAATATATTATTTCACATATCCTAAAAGGCCTTCCATTGTACATTACCTTCAATATGCATTAAATATAGAATATTTAAGCCTAGGAGAGTAGAATTCACCTTTTTTAATGCAAATCTTGTACTTTTTCCTTGTTAAATTTAAAATAATATGTTTAAATATTCTCCTATTTAGGTCCCAACCTCATTTAACTATAAATCCTTTTCGACTCACTTAACAAAAGATACTCCCAACATTAGCCATTAACTAACCTTGGCTAAGCTTATTTATTTATTGTATTAAAATCAGCCAGAAGGCACGCAACAATTCCTAAGCGAGTGCAAGTTCCTTAGTCACAGTTTGGTCCTTTTTTTGTCCATATCATAGCCATAAACAAACACTCCACTCTAGCCTTTTAGGCAACTGTTTTTCCTTTTTTTTTTTTGTCCTGTTTTGGGGCCAGCCACGCCCAGAAAATTCTCTCTTCCGCCACTAAAAAGGTCACGGCGGAAAATGGGGAAAGCGACGGAAATAAAAGGAAAATAAATAAACGAAACGTAAAACGAAATCCAGGCCCCAAACTTTACCTATGAGTTTAAGCCAAAATAAAACCCCATACCTGTAGCGAAAAGGACCTGCCGCACACTGTGAGAAAAGGATGGAGGACTTATATGTATGTGTGTGTGTATGTATGTATAAAGGCAATAACAAAGCAGGAAAAAGAATAATAATAAAAAAAAAACAAGAAATTAAGGAAAAAGTTGGCAGAGGGCAAAAAACGGAAAAACAAGGCGAAAGTACACGAGTCATAGGTGTATGTGTGTGTGTATGGCCAAACCTCTTCATCACACAAACAAAAATACACACACACACACACACAAACACACTCACTCATATCCCCGTACACCCACACACTCAAGGCAAGTCTATGAAAGCGCAGGGCTTCCCCAAATGATAAAGTTTTATTTGCTTTTGCGGGCGCACATTGTATTTTCTTTTTTTTCTTTCTTTTTTTTTTGTGGGGCAGCTGCAAGCAGCGACGCCAGCCGAGGCAGCACTCAACCATAATAAAACGAACATTGAACGAAGACCACGTTGCCAATGGGGTGGGTGGAGAAGGGGGGAGGAAACCCCAGGGCTTGGGGTGGCGGAAAATACGGGGGAGATGACGTTGTCGTTGTCGAGTCGTCGGCCGTCGGTCGTCGGTCGTCAGTTAGTTGCCACAGAAAGGCGAACATTAAACCAAGTCAATCCGAGCCACCCACAGGGGGAATTCCCAGATGAGAAGAGACAAGCGGGTTACCTACTTTTTCGATAATAATTATTCATTGATTATTATATTTGTCTATATATTGTATTTTAAATCAAATGGGAACTAAGGGATTAAGAATAATTTTAAAACAACTCTTTTTACGAAGAACATCTAAATAAATATGTCCTTGTTTTTTCTTAAATATTAATTTAAGAAATTTTTTACAATAATAAGAAATAAAGGCCTAATTGTTTCAGGAACTCAAGAAATGAGTAGGGGTTTTAAAACCGTTTTTGGGGTTTTGAAAACAATTCAAAAAAAAACCCCTCTTACCAAAAAAATATTCCCACATTGTTGTTTAATTTTTATTATGAATTTAAGGTTATTTTTTATTAACAATAAAATACCAATTACATCGAAAAGGGTTCTATTACTATCACTAGAGGTTTTAAAACCCTTTAAATTCTGTACAAAAGTATGCAATGCTATTTTTAAGGTACCTTATTTTGTGTAAATTAGTTTTGTATTCAACAAGTAAAATGTTGTTTAAATCGTTATTATTTTCTATAGTCTAAAGCTTCGTTTCTATATTAAATATTTAAAATTAATAAACATTTCATTCTTAACCCAGCTTATTAATTAACCTCTCCATCATTAGATACAATCCCATTTCCTTTAAAAATTGCTGGGTAGCGATAAGTTTAACACAAATGAGTAGGCAAGCAGCGAGAGAGATAGAGCGAGCAGGAAAGCCCAAAGAGGGTACAAGGGAAAGGTCGGAAAATGTGGGGGGTGTGACAAGGAAACGTGAGCT